ATTGTACAGTGGCATTAAGTGCCGACATGTGCACCTCTGCCTACCCATTCGGGGATAAAAAGGCGTGATGTTATGTTATGTGAAATTTCTTTGTTTGTCCATCAATCATGCTGAAACTACTGAACGGATTTTGATGAAATTTGGTATACAGGCAGGGTCTGGGCTGACTTAGCTGATGCCTTTTTATTCCGATTAAATGCTCCCATGGGATAAAACAAAAACAGGAATCATATTCCACGCGGACGAAGTCGTGGGCAACAGCTAGTAATTTCTAATTATAAGTTAAAATCGCCAATTCGTCTTGAGCAAGCATGGTGGTTAATGCTTAAACCTTCTTGTGCGAGAAGAGGCCTTTGCTCAGCAGTGGACGCTTCTAGGCTGCCACTATATTATGCAATAGGCTCACAAGTGCCAGGGCTACTAATTGAAAATGGATCTGACGGATCCTCTAATGGTAAGTAATCGGCGTTGCCTATGAATACCTGAAACACTAGAGGGATTAAAAGTGCGTTGCTGGTAATTTAACCCGTCATTATAGACACAATTATAGAGGTAGAACAATAGGTTGCGGTCACCGGTGACCGCTTGGTGTTTGACAGTTTAAATCCCTAAGATTTGAGGATTGGAGAGATTAAGAACTTCATTCACACGGCGAAACACAAGACAAGCGTTATTATACACCGGTTTTCCTTGAGGCCGGTGGTATTAATATAAAAATAAAGGATATAACTGGAAAAATTGATTTTGTATAATGGCTTTCTCAAATATACCTCTCTATTCGAGGAAAAGGCGTTGTGTAATGAAACCCTAGACTACCATTTTCCTTAACAGTCGATAAAGATTTATTACTTTGTTATTTTTATAAACAATCCATTCAAAGTTTTTCAATACACTCTAGCAAACTTCCTTGGTGAATGGCGGTTGAAGTAAGTAAGAACATTTTTACTCCTCCTAAGAGAATAAGCAGTAGTGTAGTTGATCCTACGGTCTACACCCCCGAGCCACTACTGGCTCGGGGGTGTAAGACGCCCGCTTCTCATGCATGAGGGTGCGTGTTCGAAAGCTACCAACAGCGAGTACCAATGTGACTTGACTGTTTCAGAGTTATATGTACTTTCTAAGATTATTTATACATCACTGACAAACGGTGAAGGAAAACATCGTATGGAAACCTGGACTAACTATTTCTAATACTAGGTTTGATATCGCCAACCCGCATTGAGCTAGCGTGGTGATTTAACTGTCAAACACCGAGCGGTCACCGGTGACCGCAACCTATTTTTCTTTAATTGTGTCTATAATGACGGTACTCGACGAGTTAATACCTCCTACTCCGTGTGAGAAGAGGCCTTTAGTCAGCAGTGGTCACTTATAGGCTGTTGATGATAATGTGTGATCAACTAGTGAATTATTTATATGGGAGAAGTTATGTTCATCGCTGGACGTCAAACTATGATACTGATTTTTTCTGTGGGGGATAATTGTCAAATGATTTCTCCTACCCCGAGTGCGGAGTGAGGGGCTGTCAGACTCTTAATGACTAAAAACCGTACTAACTCCTTCAAGCCGGTATCCCTTATAGTTAACCTTGTAATGCGCATGACATTAAATGGACTGATAAACTATTTCGATATTACTGATGTTCGTAAAGATCAAATAGGTATTATATAAACCTGAATAATTTGTTTGTTTGTTTCAACGTGCTTATCTCCTGAACAACTGCTCCGATTTGAATAATTCTTTTTGCGTTGGATAGTGCGTTTATCGAGGAAGCCTATAGGCTATAAAACAGCACGCTACGATCAATAGGAGCCGGAGCCGAGCAGAGCGGTTGAAACTGCGCGGTAGTAGCTAGTAAATAAATATTTGTAATGGTGAGCGATGGACTACAGTCCATCGCTCACCGACAACGGAACAAATTCAACGTCATATAAGTTTCCGAATCACTTCGCATTAAAAAATACACTTTAAAACTAAAACTTTTAAGTCCAATTTCCATTAACAGTGTAACATTATCAGAATAATTTAAATGCTTAGTAAAAACAACTTAATTTCTACACAGATAACGTTGACATTTGTTTGTAACGATTTCAAATAAACTGTAAGTGGAAATGTCATTTAGCTTCCGTTGTATGAATGATGTAAACAAAAAATAATCATTTTATAAGAAATTCATTTTGATATTTTCTTGATAAAATGTTTCACCTTACTTATCTCTGGCATAAACAAGTATGAGTAACACGTTGTCAAACAAACTCCTCCACTGCGTCTGCCCGTCTTGCCCGAAAAACTGCTGAACGAATTTTTATTCAGTATTCATCTGTACCGACGAGCATGCATGAAGATTGATGACTGTTGATGAAGTGAAAGAGGTATGTAGTAATCGTAGCAATTGGCGTTCCGTTCCATAGTGTATGCCTAACCACATGGGAGACAGGCTTGAAGTTATGTAGGTATAAACATATGTATGTATTCGTCTGTTGAAAGGGTGATTGGTAATTCGAAAAGAACAGGTGATAATGCTAATGAAAAGCTATTTTATAGGATAACTAAAAAATCCGCCATTTGCTGGAGAATTTTC